GTGTAACAACTTAGTGAAGTGAATAAGTTGTCAACCTCCCAAGTAGTAGGTTGGAAGTTCAAAACTCACCTATGGCAGTAGTATCTAAAATTAGAGAAAAATTAGATGAATACTGGCCAATTATGCAAGAAGTGAGTAAGATTGCTGCTTTTTTTAATCCATATTTTAAACAAATTATTTATTCAGAAAATTCAGCAAATGAAATTTTGGCTTCAATACATGGAAATCTACCAGTAAACTCTGAATCTATAGTTCAACCTCTACATATTTCAAAGCATATTCAATTTCTATAAGAATATAATAGAACATCTATGTTTACTACAACTTTTGACTTAGATGAACTTACTCGATATTGGGAAATAATTGCTCTACTTGAAGAAACTTCTGTTTGTGATTTGTGAAAAGCTAACCAAAGGGCTTTTCTGAATTTAGCTACTATGGCAAAAGACTATCTAGCTATTATGTCTACTAGTGTTCCATATGAACAACTATTTAGTTTAGCTGAATTAACAGTTACTAAATCATAAAACTTTCTTGATAATGAAACAGTTTGGGCTATTTTGTGTTTAAAATCTTAGTTTACTGAAGACTTATCATTCTAAATTTTAGTATTATAAATTTTTTTTTTCCTGTTAGCAGGTTTTTTTTTTATTTACATATTTATTTTATGATGCTTATAAATACATATAAAATTTTATATTATAACTTTTTATAACCTAAATTTTTTTTAACTTTATATTTAAACACTAGTGGCATACTTTATTTTTTACTTTTTATTTTCTTTATTAAATATATTTGGTCTATAAATTTTTAAATATTTAAGAGAAATATTAATACTAACAATGTTACATCAATAAATATTTTTTACTATATAAAGAACACAAATAGTATTGTTAATTTACTTTAATATCTTTGTATATTGAAATAGTTTTTCTTGAATTAGTACGTACAAGATTGAATATTTGATATTTCTAATTACAATCAAATTATCAATTAAGATAATAAATATAAAGCAAATTTAAAAACAATATTAAGCAGTTAAAAGTAACAAAATATCTTCTCAATTTTTACTATAATGTTCTTATTTAATGAAGTAAATTATAAAAATATAAATATTAATATTATGAATTGAAAGCTTATTTATTATAAATGTGTTGAAATTCTTATACAGATAAACTTATTTTCATTATTATAGTAAAAAATATTATATTGATTATTAGTCCATCTGATCTAGTTCTATTCAGTCCTAGACTGCAGTCCAGTTCAATTTTTTAAAAGACTGATAGTCTTTTAATCAGGATGGACTGAACAGACCAATTAACAGCCCTACCATCAACTAAATTTACACTCAATTGTTTTTGAAGACTTTAACATACACAACAACATTTGTAGCTCTTCATCTAAATTTCAACTCATTAACTATTTATACTAATTTAACATATATGATTTTGGAGCACATGTTAACAACAAATACTACACATAGTCAAACAATATTAGTCAAAGCAGTATTGACTATATTTGGACTGACTCATTCAATATACAGTTCTTTCTTTCATATAAACTTGATAACAGTAACACTTTTATATTAAGTAACTATTCTATTCTTCTTTTTTCTTGAACTTTTACTAATGCATATAGTAAACTACCATGCTATCATACTGGTATTACTTGCAGAATCTTCAACTACAAAGCTATGTTATCAGAAAATGTGACAGAATTTTCTGATCTTTTTTCCTCTAATCTCAAAACACACAACACTTCACTTAACTATAATACAAATGAGAGTATCAAAACCATCTGACACAAAATTGAACACTTAATTATTAATATTGCAATACATTCTATCTCTAACAAAAACTCACACAAACATAGCTACAATTATCAGTACTCCCCTCACAGCATCTTACTTCATTTATTACTTAAAAAACTTGGTCACTTAATCAAAATTTTGAAAGATCCTAACAACAATCTTAATATTAATCAGATTAATTTAAGAATTCAAAACATCAACTTAAGATCTTAGTGCAACATTCATACTCTCATCTCTCATAAACATTTGCAACTTAATCAATAGATCCAACATGTACAAGAAATTTGAAAACAACTCTACCATGCTTGTCATCTTGAAAACTCTCTTTTACTCTGACAACAAATTCAATAAGTTACTGAAAAAAAATATGAAACACTTTCTACATGCTTTGAATATGTCATTAATAGCATTTTTAATTACTATAAAGCTCCTATCCTTTTCTCTAGTATTAAACTTTCTGACCAAATAGTTACAGATCCAAAACTTATTAAACATCATATACAAACTCATTTTTACAATTGGACAGCTTATTAACCAACTGACCAAACCCTCTTTGATAACTTTTGGTCTACACAATATCAACCATTATCACATATTAATACTCAATAGTATGACTTTCTTTTTTCTTTTATTACTAAAAAAAAAGTTACTCAAACTATAGCAAAGCTTTCTAATAGAAAAGCCTGTAGTTCTACAAGTATTAGTTATGAAATACTTAAACATGTAGCACTACTTGCATTAAAGCAATAACTATTTTGTTCAACTGCTGCCTTGTTTCAGGTCAAACTCCTAAACAATGAAAGCATAGCAGAATCTACCCTATTCCTAAATGAAATATATTTGATGAAAACCTTAATCTTATCTGCACAATAAGTCTTATTAAACATACATGCAAAGTCTATACAAAAATTATTACTAATAAAATTAGTAATATATTTTCAAACATTCTATACTTTCATTATACAACTATGTTACCCTACCTAATAACTATATTTCTACACCTATTTACATACTTAACAACATTACTGAGAATGCATTATGCAATCAAAAAACCATCTGGCTTCTATTTCAAGATATAAGTAAAGTCTATGATTTTGTTAATTTAAATTTTCTTTAACATTCTTTTTAGTGCCTTGCACTTTCTAGTTCTATTATTAACATTATCATTAACTTATTTACTGACTGACAAAATCAAGTTATCACAAACCTTGGCCTTACATTTTTATATCCTATACTTAACAGTATTGACCAAAGTGAAACTATTACTTTTCTCTTGTGGAGAATTTATTATGATTCACTTATTTCATATATTCACAATAACTTTAATGATTATTTCACAAAAGTTTCTTGGCCAACTAATCTTAAAGATCTAACATATAACAAACTTGAATCACACTGTTCAGTTCTTACTTATATGAATAACACTCTTTAAATTGCATCCTCATAACAAGAGCTTTTACAAATTCTCAACATAGCAGAATCTTTCTACAATATGGTCAACATTCAAATCAATCCTACTAAATTCATACTTACAACTAATAAACCTTTAACCTTCTACAATTCTATTATATATAACAATCATTTACTTAACCTTTACTCTTCAAGTAAACTATTCAAGTTTCTGAATACTGGTTTACACTTAATAATGAACAAACAAAATAGACAAAGCTTATTATGGCTAAGTCTTCATATCTTATTAAAATTCCAAATACTAAACAAATTACTAATACACATGTACGATATATTATTAACACAGTCATTATTTCTACAATTGAATATCATCTTTACAACATAATTCTTAACCAAAACACTTGTAACAAAATTCTTACAAACCATATTGGACTTGTTAAAAGCAAAGCCAAACTTAGTCATACAACTCCTACTAGTACTTTACTTCATCTCCAATTATATAATATTTATAACATATGAGATATTCAACTACAACACTATATCACAAACTATATCAAGAGACTTAACTCTCCTAATCTTCTTGGTATTAGTATTTATATTTAACTTTAGCAACTTCAAAATAATTTTTGGTCACCTATCAGTATACTGGTACACAAGAATTCTACTATTAATGGATCAAACAAACATTCTAATAACTTTAAAATATTCAACTTTTTAAATATCTTAGTATAACATTTACCTCTAACCAAACTTACAACATCCTATACACTATTCAAGAGAGCTCTATCTTATTAGAATCTCTTTTTTGCTCATATCCTAAATACCTAACCTTCAAAAAACAACACAAATATTATAGCATCCTATATTTAGACCAACTTACTATATTTGATAATTCATATTTACTAGATTGGAAACACATCTTTTATTATATTTATAAAATTCCAAAAGGCAAACAACTTCTCTGGTTTACCTATTTAGAAGACCTAGTTACAAGTTACTCCTATAATTGTACACTATACTTACACTTACATCTACCTGATACTAACTACTATAGCTACACAACTGGATACTTCTTATTACATAAAAAACCCTGACTTATTATAGTACTTGATAACCAAATCATTACTGGTAAAGCCAGAAGACAACTTTTTCAATCTGGTACTGTGCTTATCACTTACTAGTAATATTAAATTAAATTACAATTTATCTGCTTATATTCTTTTGCACCTATTCAATCACATGTTTGTCCTGGTTGTTCTTTTAATTTACAAACAATTAATAATAAAAATATAATAATTATCTCTACTAATCTTTCATCAATTTTTTGGTCAAGTTAACACAAAAAACAAAACTCTTAACTTTAATGCCAATCATTTGAACCTTTTATACTCAGTTGCAATTAGACATTTTACTCAAACTTCAAGCCCATCCAATATTATTATTTTAATAAACTTAATTCCAACTATTTTTAAACCCTATACATTAACTTATAAACTTTAACAAATTGCCAATTACAACACTAATCAACAAGAACTTCACTTCTATACTGATGACTCTGTTATTAATTTGTGTATTTCTTAATGCTCTATGGGTATTGAATGGGTCCAAGTTGACAATAATTCTATATTGTATACATTTTAGATACAAATTAACTTTGGCCTTGTTTATTTAAATCAGAACTTACTGCTATTTTATTAGCTCTTATTACTACTTCTAGAAACTGTACTATAAATATATACACAAACTCTCAATCTGTAATTTCAAAATACCAAACCTTTTTAAATTTCTCTACTACTCTATCATATACATATACACTATACTTTTCACTTTGGAGCATACTTGTCAACTTTATTAACTCTTACAAAATTCAAATTATCTTTAACAAAGTTATTGCTTATTAAGATAATACATACAATAATTTAGCTAATCAACTTTTACATAACTATTATAATCTACTATACCTTACTTTTATGCTATATAATATCTATAACCTAGCTTATACTCTTATTCTTGAGAATTTTTCTCTTAAGCTACCAACTTATTACAGTATTTATACAATTTGTTATACACAAAACTACTTTTAGAAATGGAAAAATTCTTAACCAAATTAACTGGCAAGCCACCTGGCTGTATATCAACAACAACCAAAAAATTTCAAACTTCTCACATAGTTTTCAATCATCTACTCTTAAGTTCTTTAGAATTAAAATTTTACTAAATAAACTTTTTGCTTTACATACTTTACATAAATGTTATCACTTATACCCACCTATCTGTCACCAATATCATCATACTAGCTCTTACCTC